AGAGTGAGCCATCAATTTATAATTAAATTGAGGGTTCTCTTACAGTTGTAAAGATCTGGATAACTTCTGTAAAGTTAAAGTGACATTTTACCTTTTTTAAATTTTTTAAGTCATTTGTCTGGAGCTATCTTTCTTGAAGCATTCACTTTATTTATAGTGATTTCTGGGATGCAATGCACTGGCCAGTGTTTACTGTGAGTTGGGAGATCCCTATAGGTCTTCTACCATACTTTAAAAAGTAAAAATTTTAGCACATATCTTTACAGGCAAGCGTGATGTTTTCCTGTACTTCGTGGGAGACAAACATAGCATTACTATGATTTTTTGGTGTGACTGTAGTCAAAATCTTTCACTACATTGTCAGAAATAGTGGTACGATGACCACTATTTCTTCCATTTCTTTAAAAGTGGTGTAATTGTAGGTGAGTTTGTATAGCTACACATCTATGATTATGCTGGTGTTGCATATTTTTCATGTCCTTGCATCAGCTAGTCTGCTTTGCTAAGGAATTCCACTGAAAAAAATGTGACTTTCTACATTAAAAAAAAAGTAATCTGTTTTTGAAATAATCCAGAGAAATCTATAGGAGCTAGAAAGCAGTAGAATCTAAAATGTTTATTAAAAAGAAACTATATAGCAAAGGCTAAGAAAATATGGAACATTTTTTCTAATGTTTTCTAGTCAGTATAATAAATGAACAGGAGTCTCACTATTTGGGAGTGTTGTGAATTCTGAATAAATTTATTTTACATATATAATAAGACATGGTGTATGTAATTCCTGTAAATATCATGATCTCCCGTATAAAACTCATGACTTTTCTTGTCTGAGTGCCTTGGCTTTTAAGTCAGTTGTTGATGATAATTACTTGCAGGTAACACTGTCAACCAATGGCAAATCTGCAGACTTCAGTGTTGTTGAAGAAGAGCCTTGGAAACGTGAAAACTAAGGGAAGAGATTCCTAGCTCCATCTTTAATAAGCCCTGAAGCTGTCTTCTGGCAAAAGATATCAGGATTAAAGAAGATTTCTCTTTTTTTTTTCTTTTTTTTTTTTTTTCTATTTAACATCTGCAGTTTCTTCTTTTTTAATTTCTTAACTGAAACTTAGCAAAGATCTCATTAAGTCATTGTAGTGTCTTTGCCAAGCAATGATCCATAACCATCTGTCTCCCTTGCGTTACTTTTTGGATGATGCAGCTGGAGAATGCTCCATGTGGTGCGATGTGCTCTTACCCGCCTCCCCTTTCATTCATGACACAGAGAATGTAAATGCTGCAAAATGGGAAGATTAAAGTGCCAGTTCGGTTCACTACAGGGACTCAGGGTCACAAATACAAAAGAAACATAACACCATGTAAACCTTAAGTGTTTTGGTGACTTGTGGCATACCTGATCTCTTTAGCACTGTATGGCTAAAATATATTTTGAAAATGTCCGTAAAGATTTCCATTTGTTTTAATAATGACAAACACTGTATTTTTGTGCCTAGTTGTACTTTAAACTGAACTTAGATACCGGGGCAAGATTCATGTATAGAAGTCAATAAATTATCCCAGACATTTTGTCCGATCAGTACAACAAATATTTAGGATCAAGAGAAGACCTTAGATTTTTATGTGCATGTAGTGTGTTTTTATCAGCTGTCCCAGGGCAGGTGCAGCCTTTATTTTATGATGGGGTTGTGCTGCTTTGTGACCACAATGCATCATATCATACAAGGCAGTGTTATTGCAGGGGTGCTAGTTCCTTCACTAAGTCTATGCCTGATGTACAAAATACAGAATACCATGGGCTCAGTTATGCCATTCTTAATCAAATTCATAGCACCTTACTATTCACCCTGCTCCACTGATGTCAGAGAGCTTCCTCATGTGGATGGGACTACTCAAGTAAGGTCCTACCAAGATTGATTGTAGATTTCATGATTGGGTCCTTGATAATGAGCTACAAACAAATTCTGAATCCATTACTCTAAGAAATTGAGAGTTTTTGAATGTGATCATTAGTAGCATTTGGTATGAAGTAAAAGCCACCATTCAAGTATATTTCATATCGCAGAGAATGGCTAAAGCCTGAATTCACTGCTAAACCAAAATCCATATAAGGTTAATAGAATTTGGCCAGGGTTAGGACTGTATGAAGAATAAAACAGAATTTCAGGATTTAGACCAGTGCATTGAATATACGTGTCTCTCTTGCAAAGTAACGATTCATGTAACTCTCTAATGTCAGACGTCATGAAATATTTCTTAGAGCACATGGCATCTGAATTAACAAGATTGTGTTTTGTCAACATAGTATAGCTGAGTCATCCTGTCAGAAGAAATCACAGTCAGAATAATCACCCTGTGAAGTGTTTTTAAAGGTGCTTATTAATACTCACCAATTTTAAGACACTGGTGAATGCCGTTATACTATTAGCAATGTTCTATAGCAAAGCTGAGCCATGTGGCCTTGGGAGGCTCTAACCACAGAACAAGTGTTGTGCAATTTTTGGGGGAGCTCTCAGAAGTTGAGAATTCATTCATTCTCTGAATGAATCAGAATATGAGCATACAGTGAACTTAAAAATAGCAGAAAACAGAGTTGAAACATTTCTGGAAATAGGCCATTCAGTGTCTGTGCTCAGACCTGTCATGGGCTTAAACAGGAATAATATGTTTAACTGCAGAGTGGTATTTGGCTCTGTAGAAGCTATTAAAATACAAATATAATCTGCTTGTGCTCATCTGCATTCGTATAAATATCTCCAAGATGCATATGGACCTGAGCCAGCCAAGGCTGCTTGCATGATTAATGATGTGCACAATCAAGTCCATTGCCAGCGTATCCCTCATTTAAGCATTCGTTGTCATGGAAATTTTTGTTGTCATTGCATTTTTTGTCTTCACTTGCACACCATGGCTAGAATCCTAGGCAAAATGGCCTATCCAATTTAACAAATATTGAACCACTGTGAATTCTGTAGACCTCTGATGTGTATTAGAGGTGGAGACCTTTTCCAGAGGCCTCCTGGAGCATCTTCAGGATGGTTTTTTTGTGAGGGATGGAATTGTGGGATATTCAGAGAAGTGGTAGGCAGGTCGTTTTCTGTTTTCTTCAGTCACTGATATTAGCATGTCCAGAGTTAACCTCTAGCTAGCTGCTGCTTCTCCCAATTTGCATTCAGAGGCATTTTTACCACTGAGTTATGTGCCAGAAATGTGCCTGGGACAGGGTGTAGGTACTCTAAAATGCTCCCTACACTGAGGGCGCTGGCTCACATCAAGTGAAATTTGCTGTGACTTGGGTGGTAGCTCTAACCATGAATAACACAGTGTTGACCCCGGTTCGTATCCAGCATTCTCAAGCTGTTTCATGACACAGCTCGCCCATTAACTGCTCACTGGAGCAGTTTCTTAGGAGCAGCCACTACCTGCTTGCCTTGAAAGTAGCTTTAGAAAACTGGTCCGTACATTTTTAGCGGTCATTTGAAAGTGTTTAGCAGTTGGAAACAAATAGGAACGCCAGCAACATGTGACTAGGCAGCTTCACAAAATGACATATTGAGAAACACTTCTTATAATATGCTTAGACTTATCCACTTGGGACGTATTGTCCTTTGAAGAGTGCTTCTTTGGATGGAGACTAGGGGAGGAAGGAATTAAACTCTAGCGAAACCCCACCCACGTAAGGGAGAATGAATTTGGGTCTTTTGATAGGACTAGAATAGCAGACTGTGATTTTAAAATAGTAATTCTGTAGATACAGTAACTCAGGGATGTTTCAAAGGATAATTACAATGGTACTTCTCTATTTAAATGTGGATGTGGGAGAAGGAGAAATGTTGGGTTTGGTATACTGCTCTGCTTTTAGCCTGATTGCATATTTAATATAGTGTTACTCCAGCGCAGCACTGTATTTAACCATCGAAAAGCTTTCCATTGCTCTGGGAAAATGTAACTCACTCTTGGCTTGCATTTCTTGATTTGCTCATTCCACATGAGGCTGGGTTGCTACTTAACTAAATAAATAGAAAATAACCTAGGGACTGGCCACTTCAGCTAATACAAGGTTCACGTTTCAGCAGGCAGTGCTGGTTACTGGCCAGTCTCTTTCTAGTTTCACTAGGAGTGTTGATGTGTTAATTCGCATCTGGCAAATCTTTTGTTTTTGTTCACAGTGCTGGGGCGGCAAAGTTAAAGGAAAAGCACAGTGGAAAACAAATTAACATTTCTTTCTACATTCATCTCATTTGCTGCTCTGTCAGTTCCCCCCACCCTGTCTGTGCAACTGTGATATCCTTTGCCTGTTGGATTGTCCCAGCACACTGGCACATGGAAAACTCTAGACCAGGCAAAGACACAGTTAATTGCATGCTTAAGTGCATATTTATGGATTTGCTTTATGCATTTACTGCTGAAGCTAGGTCTGCATTCTCATCTGTTCATTGAAACTAAAGCACATTGTACGTTAAATAACCACAGAAGAGGTGGAGCACTTTGCTGCTGGATTTGTTTCCTCATTGCTTCCATTAGAAGACAAAGGCTGCACCAGCATTGTAAGAAACATGCATGGGTCTTACACATGAAGGTGCTTCAGATAGGTAGGGGATAAGCCATTTGAACCATGTTATGGGATGTGCTTCTTCCATTTGAATCAGTGAGAAACTCAGTATATCTTTGAAAAACTGTGTTTGCTGTAGTAAAACCTGTGCCTGCAATTCTCTGACTACATGAAAGCCCTTCTGAAATCTATGGGAGTCACGGGCTTCCAAGAAAGGTCAAGTACCTTCCTGTCTCTGTTAAGTCATAAGACATTTCACAATCCCATCCTGGGGAATAGTCTTTGTCTGCTATTTATAATGACATTGATTTTCACATCCAAAAGTTTTCTGCCAAGATGCTTCTTTTTTTGCCTGGTTGTTTCTATGCTACAAGTAGATCAATGAATTTAAAACTCCGCACAAAAACAAGGATCACTATCATTACAGTTTTTTCCATTTCTTCCCCAAGATACAGCTGATTTCCATTTATTTCTCAAAGCACATAGAATTCCAAACTTTGTGCCACTTTAAACCATACAAGTAATAGAGATTTGTTTTCCATCACTCCCAGGGTCATTAGTTTTCTGTCAGTAGATACTCAGAGGAGCAGACTGTTTATCTGAGAAGCTGCAGCAACAGTGTTTGAACAAATTTGTTCTGGTAACTGCCTGGATTTGTGTCCTTGCCTTCACTTGTGTTGTTGCAGCCTTATTGTAGCAACACAGCAGCAATCGCACAAATACCCAAAACCATAGGCAGTATTAAACCTCATCTCCGACATTCACTTTTGTAATTATTTTTTAAAAGGCTCCGAGCTTTGGTACTGGGCTCAGAAGAATCCTTTTGTGGACATGTAAAGGTATAATAACTGTTTCAAATTAAATTAAGTTCCATACATCTATTTTTATTGCTATATTGAATTAATTTACAGAAGGATAAGTAAGGACACTTTATAAAAATGTCCTGTAATATTATTCTGTTATGAGTCAGAAAAGTATCCTTGCTTTTATTAGTGTGACTTCTAAGGCCACAATTAAGGTATTTTTCATATGAGTTATTATGATAGGTGTATAGTCCATTGGGACAGTTCACCTTGCCTATATTTCGCCATATAAGACTATGTAGAAGCTCCTGTTCCCTGCAGAAAGTACTCTCGGGAAGATAAATTTTCTTCTCTCCAATCATATTGATGACCTTGAAGGAAAAGCAAAAAAACTACTACTGCAAAAAAACCCAACCAACCAAAAAAAAAA